TACTGACAAGAGCTGCACACACCAACAGTGCAGAGAGGGAACTTTAAAATGCAGCCCTTACTGAGAGGGTTTTATGACACACTCTCCCAGGAGCTACTTGGTCATCTGACTTGCATCCGGAAATTAAAAAGGCCATGGGTATTGCTCTTGGAGCAGTACCCAAAGGGACAGGAATGAGCACCTCTCTCTCTCTAAAAGGGGTTATGGTACACAATTCCAGGAGCTATTCAACATCCAGGCTTTTCATGAACTTGCATGGAGGAAGTAGCTGGACAAACAAAGAGTCTCTGGCAACCAGAGCCAGAACACAGCACTTTATATGAGGCTTCCCTTTGCTCATCCCAGTAATAACCTCAGGCCTACTCATTCTTCAGGGAAAGATTTGACCATGTACTATAGCTCCCATCTAAGGGACTGGCTCCTTAAGGGATTATCTCAAATTGCATTCCTGAGTGGCCTTAGGCCACAGGAAACAAAGAAATGGATATAAAATTGATTCCTCCCTAGGATCAGAGGGTACAGGCTTAACCTGAGTATAGACATTTGCCACAGATTCTCTACCCAGCTTAGTGCAGGAAGAATAGATGAACACCTAGCACAACTTCACTATGAAGATAGAAAGAACTGGAACACATAGCTACACCCCAACCTTTCCAGCTACATCTACAGAGTCTGGATATTATTTTTCTGGTCTATCCTAAGATCTAGGAACCACCAAAAACAGAGAAAGCAGTCTGAAAAAGCACAAAGATTTAAGAAGTACTTTAAATTCTTTGGCTGGATAGATTGGTGAGATCTTTCTATGTGAAGCCAGCTTGACAGGACAGGAAGAAGTTAATTGTCTTATCTGATGCACAGAAACCAACACAGAGTCAAGGAAAATGAACAAACAGAATTATTTCCAACTAACAAGTAAGAAAAATCTCCAAAAGCAACCCAAGTAAAGTGGAGATACGTGATTTAGCCAACAGGGAATTCAAAATAATGATCATAAAGAAGTCTACCAAGGTTAAAGTGGAAATACAGGAACTGAGGATTCTAGCAGAGAAATGTACCTAACAGAAATCATAGATTTGAAAAATAATATAACCGAACTGAAAAATTCAATAATATTTGCTTTATAATAATTTGATAGGCTGTACATTTGCTCAATTAGTCTTCTGTAGTATGATACATTATAATCATACTTTTAAAAATCAATAGACTAGATCAATAGACTAGATCAACCAAAAGAAGGGATCATTAACTCAAAAATAGGCCACTAGAAATCATCTAATATAAGGAGAAGATAGAAAGTAGAATAGAAGATAGTGTAAGAGACATGGGACACCATAATTGACAGACCAAAAGAAGAAAGGGACAGAAAACATATTCAAAGAAATAGTGGTAGAAACAGAAGATAAGGACGAACCTGAAGGACGTTATGTTAAGTGAAGTAAGTCAGGCACAGAGAAACAAATACTATATGATCTCACTCATATAGTAGAAAATAAAAAGGTCAAACTTGTAGAAATAATAGTAGAAAGCTGGTTAATCAAGGAAAAGGAAAATCAAATCACAGTGAGACACCACTATACATCTGAAATTAAGAATGCTAAGTGTTAGCAAGGCATTGTTCCTGTTAGAACAACAGGAAACTCATACACTGCTAAAATAGCCTTAGAAAATTGTTTGGCACTAGGTATTCAAGTTGAATGTACATATCTAGCAATTCAACTTGTAGATATATGCCTGCCAGAAATGCAAACACTTTTGTAAGCGAAAGACATGTGTGAAAATATTTCTAACATAATCCACAAGTTTGAAACTAGAAACAATTCAAATGTCCACCAGCAGACTAAGCATATTGAAATATATTTTTATAATAGATGCAATACAGAAAAAAAAAATCAACTCCAATCACACACTGGAAAACCTGATGAATCTCAATCACAAAGTTGAATCAAAGAAGCCAGCTACCAAAGTACATAATGCACACAGTACAATTCAAGTTATCTGAAGTTTCGAGTCACACTAAATAATGTTAGAGATGTGTACTGAGATGGTAAATCTAAAAAGGAATGCAGAGGAGCGATTACCATAAAGTGAAAATAATAGCTCCTTGTGGAGGGAGGAAAGGGCAATGATTAGGAAAGGGACTTGAAGTGCCACCAAAGTTCCATTTCTCTACCTGGGCAGTAGCTACACAAGTATTTGCTTTATAATAATTTGATAGGCTGTACATTTGCTCGATTAGTCTTCTGTAGTATGATACATTATAATCATACTTTTAAAAATCTTAAAAGATAAAACACCCACATGCTAAGGACCTATAAGCAGAAACTTTTTTTTTAATCATTTTCACATTTACTTACATGTGTATACATTGTTTGTGCCCCCTCACCCCCACCCCCTATGGACAACCTTTTCTTCTTATCTTTCAGTAGTTGCCTCCTATTCTACAGCAACAGGGAGTCTGAAGCCAAACCATGTCTGAAATCCAATTCCAGCTCTGTCTTATCAGCCATATGACCTTGGGCAAGTTGTTTAAATTCTATGCTTCTGTTTACTTCCCTGTAAAATGGGGTGATAACAGTAACTACCTTATTGGGTTGTGTGTACCAAATCTGTAGACAATGCTTTACCTATACCATGAAAACAAGGTGAAATATGGTTTTCAGCTTCATTATACTTCACTGTGATTAACTTTTCCTTCTCTGAGAGAACCATAAGGGCAGAGGCAGCATCTGTCTTGTCCCACTCTGTCATTCCAGCATGCAGCACAGAACCTGAGTGAAAGGAGTCCAGGTGTTTTGCTTTTAATGTAAAGGTAATGGCAAGATGTGGCCCGAGCCTTGCTCCTAAAGGAGAGGCTCAGGCGTTATTTAGCTTAAAAGTAGTCATCTTTCTCTGTAGTCCTGGGTTCCACTGCCTCTTTCCTGTCTGTTCTTGGGAACAACCAGACAATGATGGGAAGGACCCTTTCGCCTTGTTTTGGAGAACAGGGAATGGTGTTGGGAAGCTCACAAGAAGCCCCATCTGTCACCTAGCAGTGCTATGCACACGTAAATGGTTCAGGTTCAACCCAGCTCTGACTAGCCATGTACCTCAACACAATCTCAGGGTTGTGGGCCATTGCTAAGCAGTTCCCTCTGAATGTCTCTCTTTAATGGGCTCAAGGCTTGAGCTGGCTCTTCTGTTGTGAGTGATATGGAAGGAAACTCTATCCCATGCACAAAATCTTTCAAAAACATCATTTTACTCTTTCCAAAGATCTGTGAGCTAATCAATTAATTACCCATCTTACACAGTAAAAGGCAGAAATGGACACAGAAAGCTTAGACGAAGGTCATCCAACGCTGGCCTCACCCCACACTACTGCTTTCCCTCCCTTTCTTCCTTGGTCTGTATTTCTGAAAGACAGGTAGAAGCAAGATAAGCCAGGCAGGAGCACCTTAGCTCCAGCAAGGCCCTGGACATTTAAGTTAGAGACCCCTGTCCCTTCTTGAGTCCCAAGAAACAGGCAGGAAATATGTTGGCATTTCCCTAAAGGCTGCAAAATGGCCCAGGGAGAACTCTCAGCTTGAGGGGACAGGCCTCAAGTAAGAATACAGTTCAGACCTTTGTGATTTCAGGGTCCACCATAGCCTCCTTTGTGTGTGTGTGCCCAGGGAGGGGGGGGACAATTATCTCTGTTTTGGTATTGTTCCATCCACGCACCTGTGAGAGGGCACAAAGGGCCCTGTGAGAAGGGCATACAAAGTCAAGGATTCCTAAAACATGACATCTTTGGGGTTCCAGCAGAGAAATTAAACTATTTAGGGGTTTTAAAAGAAGTACACGTTTCAGAACAGAAGTATTAGGGTAACAGATGGAGAAAGGATTCCTGAGTAGGAAAGAAGGGTTTTTTAATCTATGGCCTCCTTAGTGGTAGAACATGATTCTAGGACTCTTTGAGAAGCTGGAAAACAGGTAGACTTAGAGCTCATGAGGTACTCGCTGCTTACTCAAACTCAGACCCCTTAAATCACTTAAGCAGCCTAGACAGCAGGTCATCACCACCACTAGGCTATTGAAATGTGAATCGGAAATGGCCCCCACTCTACTTCCAGAATCTGTCCCAGCATTCCCATCTTAATGTCCAAGTGAAAACAATGGTGAACAGAATCCAACTATTTTAAGATCACCACCCCATAATATACTGGCTAAGGTTGTGCTGGATTGGGCCAGACAGACCTAAACTATTGTAGCACCAAAACAAACTGAGCAAAGAGAAGTACGGCCAGCATTCCTGCTCCAACACACACACACACACTCCACACAGCAGACACACACACACACACACACACACACACACACACACTCTCTCTCTCTCTCTCTCTCTCTCTCTCTCTCTCTCTCTCTCTCTCTCTCTCTCTCTCTCCACACAGCAGGGAGAACTGTGCAAGCATGACCTTCACCTCAACAGGCAGCAGCTGATCTGGTCAGGACCTGGCACCTTGGTTAGTGTGGGCTTTCACTTCATGTATGAATGTGGGTGTGCAGACATCTGACACACTACATCCCAGCCCTCATCTTCTACATGGTGTGTCCAGGACATCAGTAGTATTAGACTATATGCAGCCCTGTGCAGAGTCAGGGCTGCCTCTGATTTCTCAAATACTTTTATCAAGCAACAATTTAAAGGGACCTAACAAGTGCAAGGACAGTGCTATGCTGAGAGGTTTGGAGAGGAATAACCAGCACATCCTGTTCTCAAGGTCACTCTGTGGGGTTAATCATATTCCACCAAAAAGCTCATGCTCACCCTCATAAGATGATGCTTAAAATCAAGAAGCTCCAGTCAAGACATGCCTGCCCACCTCCAGCACAAATTCTAAACATCTATTTCTGTCTACCTTACAAGTTTCAACACATGCCTTTTCAGCTAAGTCACAGAGACTGGAACTATCAGTGCCAACACACTGGGCAGAGTTCTTGGTCTATCCAGAAATTGAGTATGGAAGAAGGGAGACCATATAGAGATGAGCAGGATCCATCAGTGTTGTGAGGTTCAAATGGGGGTCTTGGGTCCCTGTGCCTCTGTTACTCCAGCAGCACTTCAATCAATGCACACCTGAAGTCAGAGGCTGTTTGATGGCAGTACTGGAACATGCATGGTGGACTGTGCCATCAGAAAATACCCAAGAGCCCTAGACTCACTGAGGGGGATCTTGCAGGTTAGGTATCCCAGACAACAGCAAGCCCAGAATGCTAGAAAGAGCACTGAGTAGCCACTTGACTTTTCTTTGCCATCCTACTTTGCTGCAATATCAATAAATGTCAGCAACCAGAGGTAAACTGAACCCAAGAAAGGATTTTGAAACGTACAGGGCAAGCCTTAGAGACAGAGTTCTATGGCTGAGAGGGATGATTGCAAGCTAATCAGTCTCACTTCCTCCCAGACCAAGACTCTCCTCTGTTATCACCAAGTGTCACAAAACATACTTGTAAAGGCATGGATTTATATCTTTGTCATTTATTTCTTAAAATCTTTATTCAAAATATTAAATAATACAATTTCAGATATGAAAAAAATTACTGCAATAAAACAGTTCAGGTGTATATCCATTGTGCTTCCCTTCCTTATTAGGACAGTCAACTGTCCACCCAAAGGGAGGATGGATGGCACTGCTTCTTCCATTCCTACACAAAGCACATGACCACTGGCTTGCCCAGGCTTTGTTTAACATATAGGAAAGGTAATGTTTCCTAAAAAAGTTGTAGTGACACTTGTAAGTCAACCATGGTTCAAATCACATATTTACATAGTGATCGATTCTTTGTAATAGAAAGATAGGCTAAAATGAAATACAGTAAATAATTTCTAATTGCTGTAAAAAACAAACAAATATGAAAACAATTCAGGGGATGAGAAGGTCATTGTATACATATATCCTTCTTGTATACAAACAAACTTCATTCAGATATAATTTTAATTTGAAAGACCTAGATACAATATAACTTAATGATAATGTCCTCTAAGATTTACTGAAACTTACTATACAATAAGAAACAAAGTAAACACATCTGATATAATTTTAAACTCTGCCCACTGCTTGAAACCTTGGAACCTGTGCTACAATCAATTGCTAACTAAAAGTAATTGTTCATGTGTTTAGTTTTTTTACCAGTTTCTATCTCTAAATTAATTCAGTAATTCAACCCAAAAACTGGTATTATGTAACATTTTATCTATGTTCACTGCAAATTATAGTCTCTTTGCCAGAATCTCTAGACACATTTCATGTGTTACCTAAAATTTTGGTCAGATTAAGCAGTATAATTATTTTACATTGTGTTTTATAGCCTAAAAATATGCAGAACAATTTTCTTAAGAGAAAAGACATTACTTAAATGCAAATCATCATATATTATATCCTGGTACTTATAGTTTGTGACCACAAAGAAATATGTGTTTAAAAGATAGTGTTTGGATGGCAGAGGGTAGATCTGAGTCAGCAGTACTATATATGTTACACTTCAGTTACAAGTCTGGGATCTTTCAAAGTAGCATTACTTTCAGAAGAAGTACAATAAATGGAAAATTTAAAAATTAACAGTATAAATATAAGGTGATGGTTAACTCACATTTCAGACACCTGACTGAATCAGCTCTAGAAGTGTAGATAAAAAATTGTACACTCATTTGTGACATTTAATTTCCAAAGCACCAAGGCAAAAGAGAGATCCACCTCTCACTTAAGAGAGGTGCCTGTGGCAAACATCTGCACAATATCATATAAAAAGTTGAGGAAATAAAATTACATAATAAGCAAACTCAAATCACAGTGCTTTAAAAAATATAATCATTGGTAATCTTCAGAGAAGGCATAGCCTCGTTAACATTCTGGTCTAGACGATGATATTCCACTGTTTTGGAACAAAGGCCATCACGCCATTTCCTGCTTTGAACTAGGAGGAAAATCTGGAATAAAACAAAATTAATTAGTCATACAAAAGAGAAAACAGGATATGGTAAAACTTTTTATAACAGTTGCACTCTCTCTTTACTGGTTCCCAAACACAAAAACTAACTATCAACAGCAAAAAGGCTATGTTGCTTTCTTTCATCTTGTTAACACCGCCAGACAGTACTACTCAAATGTCAGTGTATACTCAATTGCTTGTTAAAGACTCTGATTCCTGGGCTCTATCTTCAGGGCCCGAGTTCGGAGCCCAAGGTGAAGCCTAGGAACCCACTTGTTTCACAAGTCCCTGAGGAATTGGTAATAGAGGCAACCCAGCACCAAACACTGGGATACAGTATCACCAACATTCAAAATTCTGTCTGCCTACCAATACTTAAAAAGCTAGTGATACATCAGTAATGACAAAGGAACTCGAAGGGTTTCTTTGTTGTTTTCCATTAGATTCACTGATTCGCAAAGCTGGAAGGCATTTTACAATTGAAATTTGGTTTTTCCAATAAGAAAATCAAGGCCTCAAAGAGAAAGATGACTTGCAAGGGATAACAAGACAAGTTACAAGTCAATAACTGAGATTTCCTGAGTATTACATATTAAAAAGGAAATTGTGTGCTTGATCTCCCATTAAAGTATTTTGAAATGCTTAATTATTCAGCTCTGGGACTATGTGTTGCTGAGATACAACTTCACATTAAACGACCTACCCAGAATTATCTAAGCCTCCTTTCGTCATATAACCCAACAGACCAATTCCAGCATAGAAATGATGTTCACCTCAGATTATTTCTGAATCAAAAATTGGAATCTTCTAAATGTGCAATAGGAAAATAGCTGAATCAAGTATGCAGATATTAAGTCATGATTTAAAGAATATTCATGTCATGGAAAATGCTTATGATTTGTTAGGCAAAAAGCAAGATATAAAACTGCAGAACAGTCATTTAAAAATTGTAACATACAAAATAAATGTATGACTTATATACCTATTTATGGACCAGAAATACACTAAAATGTTAATAATCCTTTGTGTAGTAGCTTAAATGTTCTTTCTTTTCTTTTTTTGAGACAGAGTCTCACTAAGTGATTCAGGCTGGCCTGGAATTTGTGATCCTCCTGCCTCAGCCTCCCGAGTACGGAATTACAGCTGTGTGCTACCACACACAGCTTAAGTTTCCTTTTCCAAATGCTTGTGCTTTCCAAATTCCCTAAAATAAAACCTTTAAAACCAGAAAAAAATTACTGAAAAATCACTAGATTCAATGCTTAATAAGTTAAAAGACAAAAATAGTTAATTAACATTCTTGCTCCATAGGTATTCCCAGTGAAGCAGCAATGCTAAATAGCTAAAACCTTTTCTTTAAAAAAAAAATCACCAGGCAGCCAGGCATGATGGTACACACTGTCATTCCAGTATATGGGGGTGGGTCAGATGGTCAAGGTCAGCCTGGGACTAGCAAGGACTTGTCTCAAAAACAACACACACATGCATGAAACCACTGGGCTTTGGTTGTGCTCATTAAGAAATACTCTTGATTCTTTTTTTATGGAGCACATATAGTCAACCATTCTATTTGCAATTTGTTTTAAAAAAATATATACCACAGATTTATAAACGAATCAGACATCTCAACCTTTTACTATCACTTTAAACTTAACTAAAGTCTACGGCCATACCACCCTGAACATGCCCGATCTTGTCTAAACTTAACTAAAAAAGTATATGTAGAAAATATGACTGAAATAAAAAAGTGTAAATAGAAGGGCTGAAAAATCCCAAACTTACCTTCCTTTTGTTGTGGTACATTACATAAACAACAGCAATACAAAAAGCAAAAATAATAAGATGGAAAAAGAAATGGCTGTCTTCCTCTTCTATATTCGAGGATGGGCCCTTGAAAGATCTCACTGACTGCTCAATTCCCATGTAACCCCCGTTTTCTTCCAACGGCTCAGCAGGCTCATCATCCCTGGGGCTGGCGGTCCAGTCGTAGTCGGGTTCTCCATAATCTCCATTGTCCAGAGTGTCTTTGGCAGTGGATGGAGAGCTATTCAGTGTAAGAAGATCTTCCTCTTCTATGCTTGGATCTTCATCGTTGTTATCAGCCTCCTCTTGGGACACAGAGGTGGTGGTTGAGGGAGGGGGAGCCACAGATGCTCCTCCGCTTTTCTCTGTACTAGTTGGGGGAGGGAGAGTGGTAGTGATTGGGGGAATAGGAGATTTGGTTTGTTTTTCATGTGTTAAAGCATTCATATTTGAAGGAAAAACATCTGGGTTGCGTACAGTTTGGCCCGGTGGATCTGTTTCTGGTATAAATGAAATAAACAAAGATATTATACTGAAATCTCCAGCTTCATCTCCACTAAACAAAAAGCTTATTTACCTAAAATTTTTACTTCACATTTCTCTCTGCTAATTTGCTATAACTTTCTCTTGAAAACGAGTTAAAACTCTTAATAGCCATCAGTTTCTTCTCATCTCTTCAGCACTGGGATCACAGATAACAACTGCTTTGCCAGATAGTAACAACGAAAGCAGCATAAGGGACTGTGGTACAGCCTGCCGTTGAAAGAAAAGAGTGGGGTCTGACTCTAGGTCACAAGGACAAAGTCTACACACAGCACTTAACCATCCCCACTGTCTTCCTTTAACAAAGGGACTGAACTTCATCATCTTTGTTCAGGATCTACCCATCCGCAGAACAGAAGAAAGAGAGGTAGCTAATCCGCCTCAAGTAAGTGAGAAAAAGACATGGAATATGGACCTAAATACTTTCAACCCTGCATAACAAATTTAAGAGACGCTATAAGCAAATTGTAGACACAATTTCTCTGTGACACTTGAACCAAAAGATTCCCTCTTCCAAATTCAAAAAGAAGAAAAATAGAATCCATTGAAAGAAGAAAACGAAAAGTCCTAAAGGACAAGAATCAGGAACTGGAACTTGAAAGCTAAGTGACAACTAGACTAATTTAAAGACTGGGAAAGGCGATCTAGGTGTGGAAAATGACATCAAATACATACAAATTCTTATTTCCCTATGCTGCTATGTACACGGCATGGTTTACTAAAGTAAAAGTATAATAATAATATTATTATTATTATTTGTGGTACTGGGGTTTGAACTCAGAGCCTACACCTTGAGCCACTCCACCACCCCTTTTTTTGTGATGGGTTTTTTCGAGATTGGGTCTCTCGAACTATTTGTCCAGGCTGGCTTTGAACCCCAACCTCCTGATCTCTGAGTAGCTACAATTACAGGAATAAGCCACTGGCACCTGGCTAAAGTTATTTACATAAGTACCTCTAAATATCAAAAAGAATGGACAAAGAAAACTTAACAGATGAATTCTTGTTGAAATTGAACAGTGTTTCTAATTCATAATTGAATAGCATCTGTTGAAAAACCTCAAAGACATCTATTATGCTTTAAAAACAAAAACCTGTCATGTGGGATCTAAATACACTCAGATAATATTTAAAAGCCATCAAAACAAAGTAAAGTATTTTATAGGGTGAGATTAAACCAGACCATACAAGGCCCTTCACAAACATGTCCATTCACAAACAACTCTCTGTTTATGTGAATACATTCTCATTTATATATTACAGCTGACATCTATTTCATCTAGAAAAAAGAAATAGCTGGTCTCGGGCTGAATAGACACTCAGAAGAAATAATTTACTCAATTTTTTAAGAAGATAGTAAGGCTGGGTGCCGCACAGTGGCTCACAACTATAATCTTTGCTCCTTGGGAAGCTGAGATCAGAAGGACCTTAGTTCAAGGCCACCCCAAGCAAGTTCATGAGACACCACCATTCCCCCACCCCATTTCAACCAATGGCTGGATGCACTGTCATTCAACTGTCATCCCAGCTACAAAGGAGGCTGAGATTAAGGGGATCACAGTTTCAGAGCAACTCAGACAAAAAAAGTTTGTGAGACCCCATATCTTAACCAAAAAAAGCTGGGTATGGTACTGTACACCTATCATCCCAGTTACAGTAGAAAACAAACAAGATCATGATCCAGGCCAGCCTGTGCAAAAAACAAGGCACTATCTCCAAAATAACCAAAGCAAAAAGGCTTAAGGCATGGTTCAAACAGTAAAGCACCTGCATAGCAAATGTGGAGCCCTGAGTTCAAACTCCAGTATTGCCCCCCCACCAAAAAAGAAAGAAAGAAAAAGATAGTAGGGCTGGGGATGTAGCTCAGTGGTAAAGGGATTGCCTAATGTATGTGAGGCCCTGGGTTCAATCACTAGCACTGTAAAAAAATAAAAAATTTTAAAAAGTAAGGGCTGGACGCATGGCCCAAGTAGTAGAGCATCTGTCTAGCAAGCACAGGCCTGGAGTTCAAACTACAGTACTGTCAAAAAAAAAAAAAGTAAACCTCTCTTAAAACATTCTCAATAATTAGGTTCCTTGAAATTTTTAACTGGAAGAAAAATAAACAGGACCTTCAATAGAGTACATTATACAGAAGACTATTAACAGGGATTTCTAAAAAAATTAATTTTATATTTATCATTTCAACTTAGTTATGATTCAGGCACTTACACATTACTATTTCTCTGGTACATTTCATTTTCATCCCAACAAGTAGAAAAAAAAAATTTTTAATGAAATTAAAAATTAAAAGTAGTCCTATATTTCTAAGAGAACAAGCCCTCTACAATTCTGTTCTCAGCAGATCTCTTTTCTCAACCTTCTCCAAGAAAGAAGACACACTACCCTCTAGCCCTTTCACTTAACAGCTGGTTTTTCTCTCACACTCTTGCACCAGAGTCTGGAGGAGTGGCAGCCAGCGCTTCTCCTCACACCCTCTCCATAAGTGCGGATAGCTTCAGCTATCGCCCATGAATTTTCCTCCACCAACTCTGGGTCATGTCCCCTAATTCTTAAAGACTTTAGTTCTGAACTCTATCCAGCCACACTCTTGTTCGTGATTTAAAAATCCCCCCCCCCCCCCGCCCACCCCCCCCCCCCCCCCCCCCCACCCCCCCCCGCCCCCCCCCCCACCCCCCCCCCCCCCCCCCCCCCGCCCCCCCCCCCCCCCCCCCCCCCCCCCCCCCTCCCCCCCCCCCCCCCTCCCCCCCCCCCCCCCCCCCCCCCCCCCCCCCCCCCTTGACTTCCTCTTTTCTGATAATCTAGCCCACCCCCTTACCTTAGCCTCTCACCTACGGTTATCTATTATCTTAACTCTACCATACTCTCAAATTCATGCATCCTACTTGCTGTCATGATCTCCTATCCTTCCAGTTCATCAAGACCTATAACCCTCTAATCCTACCACCTTTTCAGCCCCTCCTGGCCACCACCAAACCCTGCCAATCCATTCTCTTCTCTCTTTACCAAGATCCAACTCTGGGGGCAGCCATAATAATCCCTCTCTTAACATATCCACATTGACTTCTCTTCCCTCTCACACACTTTGTCCCATTCATTTGACAAAGCTACATCTACCCTACTTAAATCAAGCTTTCTGACTACTCCTTAAGTGTACCAAGTAGCTGACCATGGCTGAAAATAAATATATAACCGCCACTGTTTTTATTTTAAACTCGCCGAACTCTTAGAAATTATACTGCATTTTCCTGGTCCATTTACCTTCCTCTCTCCTCAAATTTCCAACACCTTCCCTGTTACCCTCGATTGCAGTTGAGGACAATATTCCCTAACTTCTATGAGAAAAATAAAGCCACCAGAACTCTAGACTCATCCAACGACCTATCTGACATCTCCTCTCGGATGTCTGACATTCAAATTAACTTGTTTAAAATGAATTCTCACTGGCTTCCAAGGAGACAGATGTACTTTTCTCTATTTACCCAACTAAAAACTCTGGACATTCTATAGAGTAATGATGTAAGAAGACTCTGAAAGGTGGAGAGAACATGGTAGAACAGGTAAGAGACCTCAGAACCTGAGAAATGACATGGTGGCAACTTCCCTGGTGCTATGGTTTGAATCTGGACTGCCTTACCCCAAGGCAAAGTGCCCTGCACTATAGAGAAATGGTGGACACATTAAGATGTGAGGCCTATTGATGAATGGATTAAGAAAATGGGTTATTTATACAGAATGGAATACTACTCAGTCATGAAGAAGAATGAAATCTTATCATTTGCAGGTAAATGGATGGAACTGGAGAACATCATTCTAAGTGAGGTTAGCCAGGCCCAGAAGACCAAAATTCGTATGTTCTCCTTCATATGCAGACTTTAGATCAAGGGCAAACACAACAAGGGGGTTGGACTTTGATCACATGATGAGGTGAGAGTACACAAGGGAGGTATAAGGATAGGCAAGAAACCCCCCAAAAAAAAAACAAGATAGCATTTGATGTCCTCAATGCAAAGGAACTAATGCAGAAACTTTAAAGCAACTGAGGTGACCAGGAACTAGAGAAAAGGTTAGATCAAGAAGAATTAACCTAGAAGGTAACACATAAGCACAGGAAATTAATGCAAGTCAACTCCCTGTATAGCTATCCTTATCTCAACTAGCAAAAACCCTTGGTCCTTCCTATTATTGCTTATACTCTCTCTACAACAAAACTAGAGATAAGGGCAAAATAGTTTCTGCCTGGTAGCGAGGGGGTAGGGAGGGAGAGGAAAGGGGCGGAGGAAAGGGAGGGGGTGGGGGAAGGGGGGAGAAATGACCCAAACATTGTATGCACATATGTATAAAAGAAATAAAAATAATAAAAATTAAAAAAAAAAAAAAGATGTGAGGCCTAATGAGAAGTCTTTGGGTCACTAGGGGCCTGCCCTCAAAGGGGACTGTGGCAGCCTCCTCACTTCCTCCTCCAACCCCTCTCTTAACTTCCCAGTCATGAGGTAAGCAGCTTTGCTTCACTATAGACTCCCACCATAATGTGCTGCCACAGGCCCAAAGCAACAGGGCCAACCGATCATGGACTAAAATGTTAAAACTGTGAGCCAAAATAAACCTTTTGTCTGTCTAAGTTCATTACCACAAGTATTTGTTACAAAGATGGAATGCTGACTCATACACATGGGTTTTCCTTTTACTTCATGTATCGCAGACTTGGGAGCTGAAGAAGCAAGCAACCTGGAAGCACAAAGGGATATAGACAAAGAAAGGTACCCCAAAAGGCTGCTACCTGTAGCCTAAAGATCAAGAGAGAGACAGCCTAGCAAGAAAGAAAACTTGCAGGTAATGCCCCTCTTCTCCAGCAAACATCACAGGAAAACCTACCCTCACACCAGCAAAGGCTGAGCAGGAAGCCTAGATTTCCATCCTCACCAGGTTATAATGAGGTGTCCAACCCTGCTCTAGA